ATTTGGTTCTTGAGAAGCCATATTAATTTTAATAACTGCACCAAAGCAAACTGGGAATGGAAATGGTGAACAAACTTTGGCCCATAAAAGTATGTGCATTATCCTGACTAATTGTGACTGTCACAACTGTAAAGGTAGAAGTTTTGTAACAAAAATGGGGCAGTAGTTAACTTTACAGTCAAGAAACAGAGGACCCTAGAGCCATCAAGGGAGAAGAGCACAAGCAGAATGCAGGATCCTATCCAGAGAAGCAGTGACATCAGAGATGGAGCCAGAGATGGGAACATAGAGGGAGCAGCTGAGGACTCTGGACTCATGTAAAGAGAGGGACTGAGTGCTGGCGGTCTGGAAGCAGGCTTGTAGAATGTGCCCTTTGGTGGTTTAAATTACTCTATATCCCTGAGTGGTTTTGTGTACATACCCCTACCCCTACCCCAAAACAACAACAACAACAACAAGAAAAAGAGGAAATAGAAGCAAATACTGTTGAATGATGATGCACGGAGGAGATTGTAATCATTGCAATGAAACAAACAATGGTGTAAAGCCGATGTTCTCCCATATAAACTCGCTCAGTTCATAATAATAATAATAATATGTGTAATTGTCTGGAAACATGAAAATGTACTTTGTAAGAGAAATCAAGAGCCCTGGTGTAATGCTGTAGGATAAGTGCTGGACTACTAACACCAGGTTGGCAGTTCAATCCCACCAGCCCCTCTCAGAAACACAGAGTCACTATGAGTCTAAACTGACTTTACAGCACACAACAAAAAGAGAAAACAAAGGCTCCCTGGTGGTGCTGGGGATGAAGTATTGGGCTGCTAACCAAAAGGTTGGTGGTTCAAACCAACCAGCTGCTCCTCAGGAGAATGATGAGGCTGTTCGTTTCCATAAAGATTTACAGTCTCAAAAACCCCATGAGTTGGAATCACCTCAAGGGCTGTGGGGTTGGGGGCTTAGAGAATAGAGGTAGTTGTATTCTTTAGAATCCTGGAATTAGACGGAATGTGAGATTTTTCTCACAAAGGAATTTTCTTGTAGTTAGACCTGCATACATAGGTATAAAAATGTCATGTTATATTATATACTATACATATTATATGCTATTATATATATTAGCATACATATTATATACTATTAGTATATGGTGGTGCTACTGGTGGTTATGTGCCGTGGAGTCGGTTCCAACTCATAGCGACCCTGAACAGGGTTTCTGAGGCAGTAAATCTTTACAGGAGCAGAAAGCCTTGTCTTTCTGCCACGGAACAGCTGGTAGTTTTGAACTGCTGACCTTGCAGTTCACAGCCCAGTTTGTAACCACTACGTTACCGGAGCTCCTTCTGTTAGTATAGAGCATATATTAATATATTAAGGAGTTATGGTAGCGTAGTGGTTATGAGTCGGGCTGCTAATCTCAAGGTCAGCAGTTCGAAACTACCAGCAGTTAGTTCTGTGTGAGAAAGATGAGGCTTTCTGCTTCTGTAAAGGTTTACAGCCTCAGAAACCTTCTATGTGGGGCCGTTATGAGTCGGAACCAACTCCATGGCATACCACTACCACCATGCTATATATTAATGGTATTTTGAAAAACATCATTAACCTTTCCTCCCCCCAGTTAGGAAATGATTTCATTTTCTTTCTTCTAAAACTGGTGTTTCTAACCTCTTTCTGGCAGCCTGAGACCATTTGCCACCTTACAATTCCAGCATCTTTAATTGAAACTGAAGAATTCTATGGTGCTTCCTCAGCTGTTCAAGTGTTCCAGAGTCATTTTCCAATGTGTACTTTCATATTAGGATCCACTTAAAAGACCTTGAATGATAATTATTTGTGTGTTTTCCTGTAAAGCTCTTTGGTAATTATGTAGTATTAATGACCTAAAATGAAACTTCATGGGCTACCTAAAATTACATCTGATTTCACAATTACCCTATTTTACCTCATTGAGGCACCTTTGATCAAAGAATGAAGCTTTATTTTGATCAAACTATTAAAAATTTCAGTGTGGTCTTCCTTATACCAAGTGGACTTAGACCAGTGGCTTACATTTCAGTTATAATTTCAAGTTAATCCAAAAATTCTCTTGTGGTTTCTGCTCTTCTCCATAAATTCTTTTGAAAAAAAAAAAAAGTTTTCAGAGTAAACATAGATGATAGTTAAGTGTACATACACTCTTTGGAATTCTGAAGAACCTGTGTGTTAATTGCTTCTTTTACTTGTTAAAATTCCTATGTAAAATGTGACTAGTATTTATCTTTGAAGAGTGTGGTGAAAATTATATGGCGGCGGGGGTAATGTATGTAAGTTGTTTTAAACAGCGGTTAGACTTGCTAAACACCAGCTATTATTATCAATTTTGTGTGACCTCTTACAATAGACTTAGAGTTCTGGTGTGGTGCTAGAGAATAAAGCACTGGATTACAAGGTCACTTCTTAGAGACCCTGTATAGATAGGGTTGCTATGAGTCAGAACTGATTCAACAGTACTTAACAACAAGAAGTATAGATTTAGGAGTGCTGGTAGCACAGTAGTTAAGCACTGGAGGCTATTAACTAAAAGGTCAGCTTTTCAAACTCCACAGCAGCTAGGAGAGAGAGAGAGAGAGCCTGGTGATTTGTTCCTGTAAAGATTACAGTCTAGGAAATCCTATGGCTAATTCTACTCTGCCACATGGATGGCCACAAGGATGTCATGCTGGGTAAGGTGGAGGGTCAGAGAAAAAGAGGAAGACCCCTAACGAGATGGATTGGCCAGGTGGCATCATTGATGGCGTCAAGTGTGGCAGCGGTAGTGAGGTTGGCCCAGGATCGGGTGTTGTTTCGTTCTGCTGTGCATGGGGTCGCTATGAGTCGGTTCTGACTCGATGGCACCTGACAGCAACAACAACAACAACAACAATATGGATGGCTACGTCAGAGCCATCTTGGCAGCCACAAGAACAGAACATAAGCTCTGAGGAGTCCCCGGGTGGCTGCAAACCACACTGCTAACTGAGAAGTTGGAGGCTTGAGTGACCTAGTGATGCCTTGGAAGATACAGGTCTGGTTTCTAAAAAATCAGCCACTAAAAACTCTGTGGAGTACAATTCTACTCTTATACACATAGGTCATTATGAATCAGAATTGACTTGATGGCATCTGGTAAAATGGTAAAAGTATTCTCTTTTCCATGTGGAACATAAGTGAACAAGGTTTACTAAAATAGTAATGATTCCTAAAACGAACAAATAGAAATCATTAGTGCCAAGAATCAGGGGATAGCTCTGAAGTTCAGCTATGTGTCTCCATAAATCGGAGTCTGCTCTATGGCTGACGACAGAGAATGTATATGGGTGTTTTCACATTGTTTTATTTGAATTTATGCTCATTGTGTTTCCTTACATTAAAAAAAAAAATTCAGTTAATTACTTTTTCCCAAAATAGGCACACAAAGTAATAAATACTTTTTAAAACTTAAATTCAAGTAGTCCCTTACTTATGCAGGCTTCCTTTCTGAATACTCTGTTGTAAGTAGGTTTCTAACCTAGGTCCAACAACTTAAAAAAAACAAAAAAAGCTTTCAATGTTGCCTTTGACTATCAATATCTATATAAATCTGATCAGTATTTGTCATTTGTGCTTGGAAAAATTGCAGATAAGCATCTGGGCTGAACATATAAGAATAATAATAGCAATCTGCATGCTGTAACATTTTATGTGGTACATATATTACCAAGCTATGGAGCTCTGGTAGCGTAGTGGTTACGAATCGGGCTGCGAACCTTAAGGTCAGCGGTTCGAAACTACCAGCTGCTCCGCGGGAGAAAGATGAGGCTTT